TTCAAGAGCAACCCCCAGCACCGGGAGTCTTGGCCAGGGATGGGGAGCGGGGAGGCTCCAGCTCCACCCCAACCCCCTGAGGAGGTCACTCCCCCTCCAGCCACCCCTGCCCGCAGGCCTCCGAGTCCCCGAAGGTCCCACCATCCCCGCAGGAACTCCCTGGATGGAGGGGGCCGATCCCGGGGAGCGGGTTCTGCACAGCCTGAACCCCAGCACTTCCAGCCCAAAAAGCACAACTCTCATCCCCAGGCGCCCCAACCCTACCCAGCCCAGCGGCCCCCAGGGCCCCGCTACCCCCCATACACTACTCCCCCACGAATGAGACGGCAGCGCTCTGCCCCTGACCTCAAGGAGAGTGGGGCGGCTGTGTGAGTCCCACATCCTGGGCAGAGGGCCTGGTGGGGCCCCTTGCTAGGAGAAGGGAAGACGCCCGAGGCGCCGCTTCCCCGGAAGCTGGGGCAGGGAGGCCCAGGAGATGAGAGAGAAGGTCCGAGTAGGTGATAGAAGACGCAGGGGAGGCCGAGCTGGAGGCTGAGGAAAGGAAGAGGGCACGGAGTTGCCAGGAGCAAACCAAAGTGAAGCGAGAGAGGAAGCTGCCTCGGGGCCACCCCTCGCAAGGGGGTGGGTCCCACAAACGCTGCTATGGGTGGGGTGGGGGGCTGGGGGGCTGCGTAGCCAGTGTTTGACTTTCTTTTTAAGTAGGGGAAAGGGGGAGAGGACAGAGTGAGGCAAGTTCTCCCCAGCCCCTGTCCGTCTGTCTGTCTGTCTGTGGTGGTTTCTGTTTCTAGGGAGACATGGTAGGATCATAAGTCATTCCCCTCCTCTTCCAGGCCTCCTGCTGTATTTGGGGGACCTGACTGGTGTGGCTGGAGTCCCATGAGGATGTGGCCCCTTTAATAAAGGATAGTGAACAGGGAGCTTGTGGCCTGTTTGTTTTGGGTTTTCGTGGAGGTGTAGGTTATATAAGGAAACGGCACAGGTCTTAAGCATACTTACCAGTGAAGTTTTACATGTGTGCTCTGTGCAGGCACCCCCCGGATCTGGACATAAGAATGTTTCCATCTTGTCGTCCTGAACAGCCTCCCGTCTCTTCCTTCAGGGTGCGCAGCCCGGTCTTTTCCACCTGCTGCTTTTTTGGTGGGGGAGGGGTGGAGACAGGGTCTTGGTTTGTCGCCCAGGCTGGAGGTGCAGTCTTGGCTCACTGCAGCCTCCGCCTCCCGAGTAGCTGGGATTACAGGCATGTGTCACCACACCCGGCTCATTGTTGTATTTTCAGTAGTGACAAGGTTTCACCATGTTGGCGGTGATCCGCCCACTTCGGCCTCCCAAAGTGCTGGGATTACAGGTGTGAGCCACCGCACCCGGCCTCCCCTGCTTTCATTTTTGCTTATCCAGTGTCTCCATCTGTGCCAGCCACACCACTGTCTGCTATGGACAAAGCACAGAAGAGGGGATGCGAGGGGAGGTAGAGGGACTGCCAGCCTGTCAATGCCTAACTGGCTGTTGTGGACAGATACAGAAGGATCTGTGGGGCACAGAGGAGTTTCTGCTTTATTAAGTCACCTCACTTGTTTGAAAGGTCTCCCAAGTAGCTAGTTTCTCCTGATAGCGAATGGGTTGGGCAAGCGCTTTCCCGATTGTTTTCATCCTGGTTGTGTCACCTGCCTTCTGGCGGGGTACATCATTGTTCCCAGACTGTTGCCTGCTTGTTTTAATGTTCTGGATCGAGGCAGCGAGCCCTTGACTATGCCACATTGCCAGGATTTTGCAGGTTAGATTGTACTCCAGCACTGCCGTAGGCTTGCCAGACTCTGGAGTCCCCACATTTTCATCCTGTTCTCAGGAAAACACTTTGACCCACTTGAAGCTCTGAGCTGCTACTGCACAGCTTTCTGAGGCCAGTCTCCAGTTGCAAGCAGCCAAAACCATGGATATGCCAACTGCAGCCAAACCACGGCTCTGGGCGAGGGAAGGATTAGGTTTACTCTTGGTTTCCACAGGGTGTGGTTTCCACACCCTGATGCTCCTACCTTTATTTTGACACCTCTGACGGCCAGGTTTTCACAGATCTGTTGACAGTGACCCAAGACCTGCAATGTAATGGATGGTTTGGCAACAGTGTTTGCTTGAGCAGTTTAAAATCTGGCCAGGGAGACTAAATGTGAGCAAGAAAGTGATAGAATACAAAGTTCTCTGGAGGTCAGAGGGAGCTGAGTGTTACAGAGAACACTGTGGGGTTCAAAATGAGAAAAATAGCTTGCTAATTTAAAAGACGGATTATTTTTCCCAAAAGACCTTGCCTTATGTAAATGTATATTATCCATAATTTTAAAAATACACTTATGGCCAGGCACAGAGGCTCACACCTGTAATCCCAGCACTTTGGGAGGCTGAGGCAGGAGGATCAGTTGAGGCCAGGAGTTCGAGACCAGCCTGGGCAACATAGCAAAACCCTGTACCTACAAAAAATACAAAAACTAGCTGGGTGTGGTGGTGTGTGCCTGTAGTTCCAGCTACTAGGGAGGTAGGAGGATCACCTGAGCCCATGGAGATTGAGGCTGCAGTGAGCCATGAAGGCACCACTGCACTCTGGCCTGGGCAAGAATGGGACCCTCTCAAAAAAAAAAAAATCAACATATCCAGCCTTGCAAGTCAATCTTTAATAATGTGCGTGGGCCAGGCACAGTGACTCACGCCCGTAATCCCAGCACTTTGGGATACTAGGGTGGGAGCATCACTTGAGGCCAGGAATTTGAGACCAGCCTGGGCAACATAGTGAGACCCCCCCATCTTTACAAAAAATAAAAATGAAAAATAATAATGCAGGCAAACTTGTTTAGATTTTATTCAGTGCCTATTTATCTTTTTTTTTTTTCTTTTTTTTTTTGAGACGGAGTCTCGCTCTGTCGCCCAAGCTGGAGTGCAGTGGTGTGATCTCGGCTGACTGCAAACTCCGCCTGCCGGGTTCACGCCATTCTCCTGCCTCAGCCTCCAAAGTAGCTGGGACTATAGGCGCCAGCCACCACGCCCAACTAATTTTTTGTATTTTTAGGAGCGACGGGGTTTCGCCGTGGTCTCGATCTCCTGACCTCGTGATCCACCCGCCTCGGCCACCCAAAGTGCTGGGATTACAGGCGTAAACCACTGCGCCCGGCTGCCTACTTATCTTTTATCTGTGCTACATGTGCCAGCATTCCATACGCATTTCATTTAGTCCTTAAAGTACCCCTGTAAAATAGGTCTTTTGTCTGCATTTTTCA